AGCTTAATGATTTAAAGTTCAACAGTGTGTGTGTGTGTGTGTGACTGACAGTGTGTGTGCATGTTTTCGCTCTTAGACATGTTTGAGTGTGTGTTGATTTGTTACTATGAAAGCTTTCCCTCCATAGTGTCTTAATGCATGGCTTGTGTTAGTACTGCATGTAGTCAGTCAAAACAAACAGATTAGTGCAGTTTTGGCAGCTCTCTGGTGCAAGGCCTATAGCTACTAGCACTGACTTTATTGAAGAAAAAAAATGCATTTACTGTGATATGTGGTTGTGTAGCACATGGGGATGTGTGAAACTTACTCCTCAGCCTGAAGTGTCCCCACTTGCGCCAGCGAATAGCTAGCTTTTCGCGCGGCGCCGACTGGTAAGACGCTTCAGGAGAGCGGTAATGTGTGTTAGCAAGTCAGAGGTTCATGCCAGGCATGGACCGAAATGGGAGGAAGTGGTACTTTCTAAGCAAGCAGCGTGATGTCCTTTACAGTTGTCTCACCTATCTATCTTAAGATGAATGCACTGTCACTCTGGATAAGAGTGTCTGCTAAATTACTAAAATGTAAATGTAGCTCACTGCTGCACACTGCCCTCTACAGGTCAACTGTGTGGTCATGCGGGGCCTCAATGAGGACGAGCTTCTGGACTTTGTGGCCCTGACAGAGAAGAAGCCTCTGGAAGTACGCTTCATCGAGTACATGCCCTTCGACGGTGAGTGGACCATTCTTAAAGACCATTGCCACCAGTGCAGAGCCGTGGTCGAGTGGTAACATTCCCTGCCACGTCAGAGTACTACTCTTCACCGGAGACCGGATGTTGAATCCCTGTATCCACCCTCCCCACTGTTCTCCCACTTGCCTGTCTCCCTCCTTGATTTCTTTACTGTCTGATTGTCAAAATACCACACACAAAAAAAAAGATATACACTACCGGTCAAAAGTTTTAGAACACCTACTCATTCAAGGGTTTTTCTTTATTTTTACTATTTTCTACATTGTAGAATAATAGTGAAGACATCACAACTATGAATTAACACACATGGAATCATGTAGTAACCAAAAAAGTGTTAAACAAATCTAAATATATTTTATATTTGAGATTCTTCAAATAGCCACCCATTGCCTTGATGACAGCTTTGTACACTCTTGGCATTCTCTCAACCAGCTTCATGAGGTAGTCACCTGGAATGCATTTCAATTAACAGGTGTGCCTTGTTAATTTGTGGAATTGCTTTCCTTCTTAATGCGTTTGGGCCAATCAGTTGTGTTGTGACAAGGTGGGGGTGGTATACAGAAGATAACCCTATTTGGTAAAAGACCAAGTCCATATTATGGCAAGAACAGCTCAAATAAGCAAAGAGAAACGACAGTCCATCATTATTTTAAGACATGAAGGTCAGTCAATACGGAAAATGTGAAGTACTTTGAAAGCTTCTTCAAGTGCAGTCGCAAAAACCATCAAGCGCTATGATGAAACTGGCTCTCATGAGGACCGCCACAGGAATGGAAGACCCATAGTTACATCTGCTGCAGAGGGTAAGTTCATTAGAGAGTTACCAGCCTCAGAAATTGCAGGCCAAATAAATGCTTCACAAGAGTTCAAGTAACACACATCTCAACATCAACTGTTCAAAGGAGACTATGTGAATCAGGCCTTCATGGTCGAATTGCTGCAAAGAAACCACTACTAAAGGACACCAATAATAAGAAGAGACTTGCTTGGGCCAAGAAACATGAGCAATGGACATTAGACAGGTGGAAATGTGTCCTTTGGTCTGGAGTCCAAATTTGAGATGTTTTTTCTCCAATCGCAGTCTTTGTGAGACGTGGTGTGGGTGAATGGATGAGATCTGCATGTGTATTTCCCACCATAAAGAATGGAGGAGGAGGTGTTATGGTGTGGGGGTGCTTTGCTGAATTCAAGGCACACTTAACCAACATGGCTACCACAGCATTCTGCAGCAATACGCCATCCCATCTGGTTTGGGCTTATTGGGACTATCATTTTAAACAGGACAATGACCCAACACACCTCCAGGCTGTGTAAGGGCTATTTTACCAAGAAGGAGAGTGATGGAGTGCTGCATCAGATGACCTGGCCTCCACAATCCCCTGACCTCAACCAAATGGAGATGGTTTGGGGTGAGTCGGACCGCAGAGTGAAGGAAATTCAGCCAACAAGTGCTCAGCATACAGTTGAAGTCGGAAGTTTACATACACTTAGGTTGGAGTCATTAAAACTCGTTTTTCAACCACTCTACAAATTTCTTGTTAACAAACTATAGTTTTGGCAAGTCGGTTAGGACATCTACTTTGTGCATGACACAAGTAATTTTTCCAACAATTGTTTACAGACAGATTATTTCACTTATAATTTACTGTATCACAATTCCAGTGGGTCAGACGTTTACTGTGCCTTTTTTAAATTGCTTGGAAAATTCCAGAAAATGATGTCATGGCTTTAGAAGCTTCTGATAGGCTAATTGACATCATTTGATTCAATTGGAGGTGTACCTGTGGATGTATTTCAAGGCCTACCTTCAAATGCAGTGCCTCTTTGCTTGACATCATGGGAAAATCAAATGAAATCAGCCAAGACCTCAGAAAAAACATTGTAGACCTCCACAAGTCTGTTTCATCCTTGGGAGCAATTTCCAAACACCTGAAGGTACCACGTTCATCTATACAAACAATAGTACACAAGTATAAACACCACGCAGCCGTCATACCGCTCAGGAAGGAGACGCGTTCTGTCTCCTAGAGATGAACGTACTTTGGTTTGAGAAGTGCAAATCAATCCCAGAACAACAGCAAAGGACCTTGTGAAGATGCTGGAGGAAACCGCTACAAAAGTATCTATATCCACAGTAAAACTAGTCCTATATCGACGTAACCTGAAAGGCCGCTCAGCAAGGAAGAAGCCACTGCTCCAAAACTGCCATAAAAAAGCCAGACTACGTTTTGCAAATCCACAAGGGGACAAAGATAGTACTTTTTGGAGAAATGTCCTCTGGTCTGATGAAATAAAAATAGAACTGTTTGGCCATAATGACCATCGTTATGATTGGAGGGAAAAGGGGGTGCTTGCAAGCCGAAGAACACCATCCCAACCGTGAAGCACGGAGTTGGCAGCATCATGCTGTGGGGGTGCTTTGCTGCAGGAGGGACTGGTGCATTTCACAAAATAGATGGCATCATGAGGAAGGAAAATTAAGTGGATATATTGAAGCAACATCTCAAGACATCAGTCAGGAAGTTATGGAATGGGCCAAAAGTCACCCATTTTATTGTGGGAAGCTTGTGGAAGGCTACCCAAAATGTTTGACCCAAGTTAAACAATTTAAAGGCAATGCTGTCAAATACTAATTGAGTGTATGTAAACTTCTGACCCACTGGGAATGTGATGAAATAAATTAAAGCTGAAATAAATACTTCTCTCTACTAGTATTCTGACATTTCACATTCTTAAAATAAAGTGGTGATCCTAACTGACCTATGAAATTGAATTTTTACAAGGATTAAATGTCAGGAATTGTGAAAAACTGAGTTTAAATATATTTGGCTAAGGTGTATGTAAACTTCCGACTTCAACTGTATGTGGGAACTCCTTCATGACTGTTGGAAAAGCATTCCAGGTGAAGCTGGTTGAGAGAATGCCAAGAGTGTGCAAAAGTAAGCTGTTTGAAGAATCTCAAATAGAAAATATATTTTGATTTGTTTAACACGTTTTTGGTTACTACATGATTCGATATGTGTTATTTCATAGTTCTGATGTCTTCACTATTATTCTACAATGTAGAAAATACAAAAAATAAAGAAAGTAGGTGTTCTAAAACTTTTGACCAGTAGTGTACATATGATAATTGCCACTGCAAATGTTGCCGTTTTACTGCATTGTCCAAGTTTCTGTTTTTTTACAGAAGTAAAATAGGGTCATTGTCTCAGTATTTTCAATTCCCTAAAAATAAGACTAATAATACTCTCTTGATTTCCGTCATTGTGGGTTTTAAATTGCTGTAACACTGAAATAATAACAGGGTTCTTAGCCATCTACCTTATATTCAAATGGTAGACCTCATTTTACATAGGCTTATGTTTGTAATGGTTCAATGCAGTCTCACACTTTCAAATCAAACTATTATGAGTCTAATGTTCCTTTATGAATAGGGTAACTAATGAGTTTACAATTGGCAGTTTCTAGAAATACTGAAGATAAAGTGATAGCACCAGTTTGTGTTAGCTAATCTCCTCGTTCTTGTTTAAAAAATAGGAGATTACAGACAGGGTGACAGAGGTTAGCATTTAAACCCTCACTCACCCCGTTCAAATACTTTGAAAAAGGAGGACCTCCCTTTTTGTAAATGTAAAAACATGATTGGATTGTAAAAGCAAGCATTTCACTGCATCGCTGATCAGCGATTACTTCAAGGAAGGAGAAATGCTCTCTCTAATTCTCTCGTTCTCTCTTTCTCTCTGAGAACCTGAGCCCTAGGACCATACGTCAGGACTACCGGGCATGATGACACCTTGCTATCCCCAGTCCGCCTGGCCTTGCTGCTATTCCAGTTTCAACTGTTCTGCCTGCGGCTACGAAACCCCTACCTGTCCCAGACCTGCTGTTTTCAACTCTAAATGATCGGCTATGAAAAGCCAACTGAGAGACCTGAGCCCTAGGACCATACGTCGGGACTACTGGCCGTGGTGACTCCTTGCTGTCCCCAGTCCGCCTGGCCTTGCTGCTATTCCAGTTTAAACTGTTCTGCCTGCGGTTATGGAACCCCTACCTGTCCCAGACCTGCTGTTTTAAACTCTAATGATCGGCTATGAAAAGCCAACTGAGATTTATTCCTGATTATTATTTGACCATGCTTGTCACTTATGAACATTTTTGAACATCTTGGCATGGTTCTGTTATAATCTCCACCCGGCACAGCCAGAAGAGGACTGGCCACCCCTCATAGCCTGGTTCCTCTCTAGGTTTCTTCCTAGGTTTTGCCTTTCTAGGGAGTTTTTCCTAGCCACCGTGCTTCTACACCTGCATTACTAGCTGTTTGGGGTTTTAGGCTGGGTTTCTGTACAGCACTTCGAGATATTAGCTGATGTAAGAAGGGCTATATAAAATAAAATTGATTGATTGATTGATTGAAATGAATTGTCATCCAAACAGGGCCTAAGAGTCCTGAATTTAGTCTTCACTAGAATATGTCATCACTGTTCAGAACCACATGGTAACCAACAGTGTTTAATGTAGAGAGAGAGTCTCCATGACACTTACGTACTGTACAAGTTTATCCGCAACTAGACCTGGGTGCGAATAGAATTGGTTTTCTTTCAAATACTTTAGGTATGCTTGATTTAGCTTGCTCGGCGTAATTGAACCAATAGAACAGTCCAAAATGTGAAAAACCAACCCACCTGGTGCGCCGGGAAAGCACAAAGCACAATCAAGCGCACTGAACGTATTTGAGAGAAAATAAATAGTATTTAAATCACGGTCTGTCATCCACACTGTGTGAATGCACCTCTAGACTAGATCATTCACTCCATTCTGTTGACCTCTGCCACCTCCTGCAGGAAACAAATGGAACTTCAAGAAGATGGTGAGCTACCAGGAGATGCTGGACCGCATCAGACAGCAGTGGCCCAGTTTGGAAAAGCTTCCACTCGGAAAGACGGACACAGCCAAGGTTCCTCTCTCCCCCCAGCCCGCTCAAATTCCCACATATAATCTCTAAATTATTAATCCGCTTTGTCTGCAACTCGGCTAAATTAAATATTCAGTGTGCCAGGTCCACACAGGAACCAATTATGATGACACGTCATCCATTTCTGCTACATCGGAGATGCAGTAATTCCCACAGTGTGTGCTGGTTGCATTAATTAATTAATTAATTGTTTATTTGACAGTAAGTACACTCACATGGTTGTGCAAGCTAAATCAGATGCTAATGAAAATGTCAAGATACAGTGATGCCCGATAGCAAAGCTGGTCTCTTTTTTTAATGATCTTGTAGCCTGGTCCCAGATCTGTTTGTGCACTTCATTGCTCATCGTCAAGCCAAACAGACTGGCACTCAGGCTAATGATCTCAATGACCACGTGTACATGCGCACAGTATTCTGGATAATAGCTCATATCCCGGTTAAGGTCTTATTTGGGATAAGCTGTTTACATGCACCTTTGATATCCCGCTCACGAGTATCCCTCTAGCCATGAATAAACAGAATATTCCTAATTTAGGTTAAATGGAATAAAAGCTAAAAATCTAGACACTGACTGTAGGCCTATAACCTCTCAGATGTAGCCTAATAGAATATTAACTAGAATATTAACTAAAATATGAACTTCTTTTTCTATTTTTTCTATTGCTGTTAAATGATTAGCACGAAATGTTAATTTTTTTCTCGGAAAGAGCAGTGGAGATATATGATGTATTTCTTTCAGCATCTCTTCAGAAAGTTGCGGTTAGGGACCACATGTAACATGCTATCTTTGACACTTACAGTACCAGTCAAAAGAAAAAACACACCTACTCATTCTCGGGTTTTTCTTTACTTTTACTATTTTCTACATTGTAAATAATAGTGAAGACATCAAAACTATGAAATAACACATATGGACACATGTAGTAACCAAAAAAGTGTTAAACGAATCAAAAAATATTTTAGATTCTTCAAAGTAGCCACCCTTTGCCTTGATGACAGCTTTGCACACTCTTCACATTCTCTCAACCAGCTTCATGAGGAATGCTTTTCCAACAGTCTTGAAGGAGTTCCCACATATGCTGAGCACTTGTTGGCTGCTTTTCCTTCTCTCTGCGGTCCAACTCATCCCAAACCATCTCAGTTGGGTTGAGGTTGGGTGATTGTGGAGGCCAGGTCATCTGATGCAGCACTCCATCACTCTCCTTCTTGGTAAAATAGCCCTTACACAGCCTGGAGGTGTGTTTTGGGTCATTGTCCTGTTGAAAAACAAATAATAGTCCCACTAAGCGCAAACCAGATGGGATGGCGTATCGCTGCAGAATGCTGTGGTAGCCATGCTGGTTAAGTGTGCCTTGAATTCTAAATAAATCACAGACAGTGTCACCAGCAACGCACCCCTACACCATAACATCACGTCTTCCATGCTTCACAGTGGGAACCACACATGCGGAGATCATCCGTTCACCTACTCTGCGTCTCGTACCAAAATCTCAAATTTGGACTCCTCAGACCAAATGACAGATTTCCATCGTGTTTCTTGGCCCAAGCAAGTCTCTTCTTATTATTGGTGTCCTTTAGTAGTGGTTTCTTTGCAGCAATTCGACCATGAAGGCCTGATTCACGCAGTCTCCTCTGAACAGTTGATGTTGAGATGTGTCTGTTACTTGAACTCTGTGAAGCATTTATTTGGGCTGCAATTTCTGAGGCTGGTAACTCTCTAATGAACTTATCCTCTGCAGCAGAGGTAACTCTGGTCTTCCTTTCCTGTGGCGGTCCTCATGAGAGCCAGTTTCATCATAGCGCTTGATGGTTTTTGCGACTGCACTTGAAGAAACTTGAAGAGTGTGCAAAGCTGTCATCAAGGCAAAAAATTATACTTTGAAGAATCTCAAATATAAAGTATATTTTGATTTGTTTAACACTTTTTTGGTTACTACATGACTCCATATGTGTTGTTTCATAGTTTTGATGTCTTCACTATTATTTTACAATGCAGAAAATAGTAAAAATAAAGAAAAACCCTTGAATAAGTAGGTGTGTCCAAACTTTTGACTGGTAGTCTACATGCAAGCAGTCTTAACAGAAACATGTTTAATCGTGTTCTCAGCTTTTCATTTCCTTAAAACCGGTGAAATTGATGGCATTTGGAAATTTTGCACAGGAACAATCTTTCCACTGTTTTGAAGTTATTGCTTTTTCTTCCCGATCCCTAAACGTCCTCGCTGAAGTGAAACGGACAACTTTACCGGTGTCAACTAGATTACTAATGCATTCATTCTATTGATTTAAGACATTAGTCTGGTGAGCACTGCTTTATTTAGTCTGCAAGGGCAACAAGTTATGACAAAAGAAAAGCTACATCTAACTATAGACATGTTGACAAGCAAATGGCCTACTAAATGTCGGAAATTATAAGCAGAAACATATCTAAATTAGGGGTGAAAGGAGCCTAAGCTGATACGGTCCAGTACAGAGTACCAGTAAAATAAATTATGGAATTATTATGGTTGTTTGAACATGCGCAGGTATCCTACTTTTTGAAGTGATTTGTTTTGCAATCTGATGAAAACATCATCACACAACACCCATGATACTATGCTAAACTGAGCCTGTGCAGACCGCAAAAACAACAGTAAACGGGATAAGTATCCCGTCTAAGATCAGCATATATCCCAGGCATCTTATCTGGGTTTCTTATAACCAGGATACAAGCTTATTTGGGTTATTTTAAACAGGATATGATGTTTATATGTGTCAACTTAAAAACAGAATACTTGAGTATCCCGAATAATAACGGGATATTGGTGTGCATATAAACGTGGTCAGTGTCTGTTCCAAATGACCCCAGTATAACAATCACCTGTCCTTTCCTGAACAGATGTGCTATATCAAAAATAAAAGAACAGAAATCCAAAGTCCTTACATATTTTTTTATTTATTAGCCAAAGGATAGGCGCAGGGAGACAGAGTAGAGGGATGAGGAATGCGTAACGCTCATGCGGGGATCGAATGTATGGGGAAACCAGACAGTTCGACAAAGAGAAAGTGGGCTGGGGACAAGATTACCTTAAACCATGTTCTTACGATTTGTTCTGTTCCCTAGACATTTAAGGTGCCAGGCTTTCAGGGCCAGGTGGGCTTCATCACCTCCATGTCGGATCACTTCTGTGGCTCCTGCAACCGACTACGCATCACGGCAGACGGCAACCTCAAGGTGAACAGCCCACATGCGAGGTAGCCAGTGAAGGCGTGACTTTGGGGGTGGGTGGACGTCTGTGTACTTACATAATCGCGCAGACAGACAGACAGACAGTCGGCCGTGTGTGTGTGATTACGTACGTCAGGGTTGGCACCCCCAAGTTCTCTGAGCAAAAGACAAACAAAATATATATTTATATTTAAAGAATAATTGTTGGACATAAAAGACCAGGAAATCAGCTCCAAGTGATTTTCATTTTGGAAATCTGTTCCCAAGTATTCCCACGCATAATAGACATATGTGATCGTATACAAATAATAATAAATAATAATTGATTGGATTTATATAGCACTTTTCTACCAACTGAGGTACTCAAAGTGCTTTACATAGTAGGGGGAAACTCACCTCATCCACCATCAATGTGTACCACCCCTACTCTTACAATAAGCGCCATGGGCTTTTGAATGACCAAAGAGAGTCAGGACACCCGTTTTAATTTCCCATCTGAAAGATGGCACCCTACGCAGGACAATGTTCCCAAATGTAATCAAGGTTTGAAATGATTATGTTTTAGTCAAATATTATATCTGTTCAGGCTTCTTGCGGTCTATTTGCAGTCTTAAAAATATATTTTTGTATTATGTTCCGCCCCTCTGACCATCCGCTCAAGAAAAAATTTGCCCGTGGCTGAATCTAGTTGATGATCCCTGATGTACGTGCATCGGGTGTGTGTGTTAGTTACTCGTCCTTTGTTTTGTCCCCAGATGTGTGTATGTGTGTGTGTACAAGTGTGTGTGTGTGTTTGCGGATATGTCTGTCTCTGTATGTGTGATTGTGCATGTTTGTCAGGGGTGTGTGTGTTAGTGACTCCACCTCTTTCCCGTCCCCAGGTGTGTCTGTTTGGGAACACGGAGGTGTCCCTGAGGGACGTTCTGCGCTCTGGAGTGTCTGACCGGGAGCTGCTGGAGATCATTGGCGCCGCCGTGGGCCGGAAGAAGAAACAACATGCAGGTAGTAAGAGCACGTTACCTGGGGTATATTCATTATTATAAACTGGGTGGTTCAAGCCCTGGATGCTGATTGGCAGAAAGCCGTGGTATCTCAGACCGTATACCACGGGTATGACAAAACATTTATTTATACTGCTCTAATTACGTTGGTAACCAGTTTATAATGGCAATAAGGCACCTCGGGGGTTTGTGATATATGGCCAATATACCACGGCATGTTCTTACGCACGATGCAACACGGAGTGCTAGAACACAGCCCTTAGCTGTGTTCTTAGTGTCCTAGCACCCTTCGGGCCTTATTGCTTAAGTGCACACCGTAGCAAAACATTTTGCAACAAAAAGGAGTGTTTCTTATTGGACAAGTTCAGATAAGTCCCTCATTTCATTCTTAGTGAATATAATAATAATAATTAGGTAGGTGCTTACATTTGTCCTATTTTGTTTTTTTGGCATATCCCACTCCCCGAGACACCTTCAGAGAGTGGAGTCACGGCCAGCGTCTGCCAATATCAATGACGCAATTAAGGTTAAGTGCCTTGCTCAAGGGCTCATCGACAGATTTTTCACCTTGTCGGCTCAGGGATTGTAACTAGCGACCTTTCAGTTACTAGCCCAATGCTCTAACCGCTAGACTATATGCCGCCCCAGGTTTATTACTACTCTGATAATGCACATTAAAAGTAGACTGTTAGCAATAGGACATCAGACATCATCATTCCCAGCAATCGCTGATTAGTTAACTTTAATTTGAATAACAATGGCTTTATGGCCCCGTACATATTCGACACAACGGTTGTGCTATTTTAAACCCTGGTTCAAGCCCATTCAGAGGCAGGTTCAGGGAGGCAGCGCTAGGTTCAGGGAGGCAGCCCTATATGCTAAGCTAGCACAGCTGGGGTCGCTGTGGATCGAGTTGAGGGGGGGTGAGTGTAACCGAGATAAGAATGTGTCATAAGCTAGCTTGAAATGTCGACTATGGTGCTATCGAATTGGATCCTTTTCTATAGCTCATTGTGTGTCAATGGCATCAGAACGGCACCCTAATCACAGAGGGTTCGATCACACACTGATTTATACTGAACAGAAATATAAACTCAACATGTAAAGTGTTGGTCCCATGTTTCATTAGCAGAAATAAAAGATCCCAGAAATGTTCCGTACGCACAAAAAGCTTATTTCTCTCAAATGTTGTGCACAAATTGGTTTACATCCCTGTTAGTGAGCATTTCTCCTTTGCCAAGATAATCCATCCACCTGACAGTTGTGGCATATCAATAAGATGATTAAACAGCATGATCATTACACATGTGCACCTTGTGCTGGGGACAATAAAAGGTTGCTCTAAAATGTGTAATTGGCATGTTGACTGCAGGAATGTCCACCAGAGCTATTGCCAGAGAATTGAATGTTCATTTATCTACCATAAGCCACCACCAACGTCATTTTAGAGAATTTGGCAGTATGTCTAACCGGCCTCACAACCGCAGGCCACGTGTAACCACGCCAGCTCAGGACCTCCACATCCGGCTTCTTCACCTGCGGGATCGTCTGAGACCAGCCACAAGAATTTCTGCACGAACTGTCTGAAACCATCTCAGGGAAGATCATCTGCTCGTGGTCCTCACCTGGGTCTTGACCTGACTGCAATTCGGGGTCGTAACTGACTTCAGTGGGCAAATGCTCACGATGGCCACTGGCACGCTGGAGAATTGTGCTCTTCACGGAAGAATCCCGGTTTCAACTGTACCGGACAGATGGCAGACAGCATGTATGGCATCGTGTGGGCGAGCGGTTTGCTGATGTCAACGTTGTGAGCAGAGTGCCCCGTGGTGTTGGTGTTATGGTATGGGCAGGCATAAGCTACGGACAATGAACACAATTGCATTTTATCGAGGGCAATTTGAATGCACTGAGATACCATGATGAGATCCTGAGACCCAATGTTGTGCCATTCATCCGCCACCATCACCTCATGTTTCAGTATGATGGCCCCATGTCGCAAGGATCTGTACAGAATTCCTGGAAGCTAAAAATATCCCAGTTCTTCCATGGCCTGCATACTCGCCAGACATGTCACCCTTTGAGCATGTTTGGGATGCTCTGGATCGACGTGTATCACAGCGTGTACCAGTTCCTGCAAATATCCAGTAACTTTGCACAGCCACTGAAGAGGAGTGGGACAACATTCCACAGGCCACAATCAACAGCCTGATCAACTCTTGCAAAGGAGATGTGTCGCACTGCATGAGGCAAATGACTGATGTTTCAAATGACTGATTTTTCCTTATATGAACTGTAACTCAGTAAAGTCTTTGAAGTTGCATTTATATTTTTGTTCAGTGTAGATTTCCAATCAGACGAGATTATGACCTCTTTCCTTTTCTCTCCCTCTGTTGGACATCCACTGACTCTTAATGTATTATCCCTCCTTAATTTATTACTCACGTAAAAAAAAAAAAAAATATATATATATATATATACAGTCAAAAGTTTGGACACACTTACTCAATCAAGAGTTTCTCTTTATTTTTACAAATTTTTACATTGTAGAATAATAGTGAAGACATCAAAACTATGAAATAACACATATGGAATCATGTAGTAACCAGAAAGGTGTTAAACAAATCAAAATACCTTGTCACAACACAACTGATTGGCTCAAACGCATTAAGAAGGAAAGCAATTCCACAAATTAACTTTTAACAAGGCATACCTGTTAATTGAAATGCATTCCAGGTGACTACCTCATGAAGCCGGTTGAGAGAATGCCAAGAGTGTGCAAAGCTGTCATCAAGACAAAGTGTGGCTATTTGAAGAATCTCAAATATAAAATATATTTCGATTTTTCTAACACTTTTTTGGTTACTACATGATTCCATATGTGTTATTTCATAGTTTTGATGTCTTCACTATTATTCTACAATGTAGAAAATAGTAAAAATAAAGACAAACCCTTGAATGAGTAGGTGTGTCCAAACTTTTGACTGGTACTGTGTATGTATGTGTGTGTGTGTATATATATGTATATACTGTATATACTGTATGTATATACTGTGTGTATATATATATATACTGTATATATATATATTCTCTTGTAAAGGATACCAGGGGCTCCGATGTCCTCACATGTAGTTTTTTCCAGACAGGTTGAAATGTAGAATGGGACACAGAATTTAGAGGGAAGAACAGGTAGAGAGAGGGTGGTGGGTGAGGCTCCCGCACAAATCATAATTAATTTATCTATTTTCTCCTCTCCTATCCTTCCCATGTCCTCCATTGAAGTCCTCACAAACTCACTCTTTCTCCCCGTCCCTCTCCACAGGCATGTTCAGCATCTCCCAGATGAAGAACAGACCCATGATCCTCATCGGTGGGTGACGCGGCTGTACGTAACACTCTCGCATTCGTTTCCCCTCTTTCTCTCCTCTACCCCTATCTCTCCTTCTCACCCCCCTCTCTCTCCTTCGCTCCCTCTCTCCTTCTAATCTCGTACCCTCAGTCCATTTGATTGAATTTGATGAAGTGAACCCATAGTTTTACTAGGGTTCACTTCATCAGGTGACTTCATCAGGTGTGATTAAATCTTCATTTTAAAGTAGTCCATTCCAGATTTTTCTACTTCTGTGAGTGTATTGGAAGTTCATTAATAAACTGAAAAGGTGCATTCCACTACCTACTGTGCTGGAGTGTGTATAGTCTGAACAGGTATAAAGCCAAGATAGGTGATTTACTGCCACCTTTAGTTATGGACTCACAGATTGTAGAGAAAGCGAGACATCCCGTTCCCGAATTTTTTTCTGATCGGGGCGTGGCTGCTCTGGTATACTTATTGCCCCCGCCCCGCGGAGGGGGTGCCCCTGAGAAGGCGGAGAAAGGAGACACCGGCTCATATTTTCTGGTCGCATGGAGGCGAGCGGGGAGGGAAAATAAGTAGACCAGAGCCAGCAGTTCCCTCTCTCGCGTGAACGTATCAGAGGTTATGGAGGAACTGTGAAAGAGGGAACACCCACTTACACAAACAGGAACCTTGAAAAATAAATGTACATGGTAAATGGTTTGAGTCGTTCATCTTAATTTATCCACCATCTTTGATGGAATGTTTGCACAGGAGTATAATTCATTGTCTTGACCCCTCATGATTAGCAAGTCCCACGCAGACTACCCCAAAAGGGTGCTGCCCATGTTCTCACAGATTCGGCCATTGAGATGTGCTCTCTAGTAAATCTCTATGAGTGGTGTTTCCAGCTACATCGTATTCTTCTGGCATACAAAATGGGAAACCATGATCCTCTTGGATAGAGGCCTTTTTTACTTCTAAATCATGTTGTAACTTTTTAAATAAAATTACTAACACTGATTGAATGGCAATAATGATAATGCTTTACCATATTACAATACTGTTATTTAGAGTTGTCTTCCTAAACGCTAATCTTAATTTCATCCCTGTCTCTCAGACACCACACCCCAAAGGCCCCTGTCCCTGCCCAAGTCCAGAGTCTGCCAGTGGTCCTCTCCACCCTCTTCTATGTCCAGATCCTGCAGTCCTCACCTCAGCTATGGCCATCCAACAGTACCACTCCAGAAGCGGAAGTGGCTAACCCAGTAAGGATGTATCGTGCCTTTTTAGGCTACACAGTTTTAACAGTGCTGCCTGATGTCAGCGGTTCGGGAACCCACCAGTGTTAAAGGAGCCCTCAGTTGTTCCATATTGTCAAAATAATCCTTTACAGGGGTGCCGCTGCCTCTAGTGTAGCCCCCCTCAGAAAATATGGGATTGACTTACTGACAACCCCCAGTTCTCAAACCAAGGCTGCTGATTCTGACACACGCACAAATGCATTGAGTCACAATGACATATACTGTCTCAGGTACGCACTTGCCAGGAATCCAAACTTAACAAAGAATGCCTCTACAAGGACCCCCAAGATTCCCTCCCTTTGCACACTACTGAGAAACGCTAAAACAGGGCCCCGCCTAAGCCAGCATAGCATAAGGCAGTGCCACAGACAAACATCCAGAGATGACCTCCAAGCGCAAATTCCTCTGACTCCCCCAAGCCGGACAACACCTCCACTGCCCAACTGACCCACACTGACGCCGAAGGCCAAGCCTCCATGGTGGATGTGGGCAGCAAGTCCCCCACACGTCGAAGCACCACAGCTACCGTTCACCTGGGCTCCACTGCCTTCCTCCTGCTCCGGGACAACCAGTTAGCCAAGGGTGACGCGTTAGCCGTTGCGCAGCTTGCAGGCATCATGGGCGCCAAGCAGACAAGACTTTCATCCCGCTTTGCAACCTGCTGCCCTTAGACCAGTACTCCGTCGCCTTCGACGCCACGCGGCCGTTATTACGACGACCGCCCTTATCACAGACTGTACCAGCATGGAGATGGAGGCGCTGACTGTGGTCGCAGTGGCAACATTGACGCTTTACTACATGTGCTAGGTGGTGAGTCATGACATCACCGTCACAGACATCAAGCTTGACGGGGTGCAAAAGGGACTTCCACTGTGAACCCTGACCTCTAACCCCTGACTGGAACCTGATCTCCACGGCACCAGATTTGGGGGTCAGCACATACGGTAAAGGGATCAATGGAATGCAGACCATGGGGGATAGAATAAGGATGCCGTTCCTTTCAAATCTGATCTAACAAAGTGGATATTCGTCAAATCCGTCATGATTTATGTGTTCTAACAGGCCCACAATGTGTTAACTAAAATCTGATTTGAATATATTTGGCTGTTTTTGCTGTATAATATCTAGAAGTTGTCCTTTTCGGGTTTAGAAAAAAATCTGCTAAATGCTTGTATAAGCTGGTAGCATAGCATACCATATAGAAATCAGTGGTGGTAATTAGTCATTTTTAAGTGTAATGCAGTTGATTGGTGACATGAACATGTATTGGGGTTTACAAGCATTGTACTCTGATTTTTACCCCAACATGGTGTGAAATACACATAAATGAAAGCCTAAATGTTGGCATATTTTGATGGACTGCAATGCAGAGATTCTGGATCTATCTATGTGGGGAACGCATGTGTGGTTGTTTTGGTCAAACTCTTACCTGATCTATACAATATTTTTATTTCGTTGGTTTAACTCAGGTGGTGAATTGAGAACTACACTTCCCAAGTTGACTGAATAAAAAATTGAATCAAGCCCCCAACCCTGCATGGTACATCTCCTTTCAGAATCCCACATTTTTTAGAGGATCAAGAAATGCCTCACTGTAAGTCATCCACTGATTAAGTACATCTTAAGCTTAAACTCCATAGACCTTTTCGATGTGATTCAAATCATATTGTCTGGCTGGTAGGCTGGTGCCATGACTTGCTGATCAGTATTGATCTTTCCATTGTACCAGATTGTTAGGATCAGATATGTTTACGCTGGCTATGTGTACAGTACATTTGCAGACCTGCCAACCTGCACGCATTTTGCATACCAATGCACACAATTTGAGGTCAGTATGCTGGTATGAAAAATGACCTTAAAATACGCAATGCAGCATCTGCAATATAATCGTTCTGGAACACGACCCTTATTTTTATACAGTATGTCCCAGACCCGCACAAAGAAAGTGTGGGTTACACATTTTTTCTCCAAATCAGTGCAGATGAAGGAATGGCGATGAGGAAGCTACTTTTGTGATGCACCCATAACGTTGAGGCTGGAGTCCTTTTTGGGAAAGTGAATAAAGAAAATAATTATGGACTAGGGCAGGGATCATCAACTAGATTCAGCCGTGGGCCGATTTTCTTTTCTTGAGCGGATGGTCAGGGGGCTGGAACATTACAAATAGTTTAGACAGCAAATTGACCGCAAGAAGCCCAAACCGATACCTGCATCTTTGACTAAAACGTAACAATTTCAAACCATGCTTACATTTGTATACGATCACGTGTCTCTCTATTATGCGTGGGAATACTTGGGAACATATTTCTTCAATTACAATCACTTGGAGCTGATTTCCTGCTGTTTTTACAGTCTTTTATGTCCAACAATGAAAATTCCACACAAACATTTTATTTTATTTTATTTTTGCTCAGAAAACTTTGGGGAGGAGAATAAAACCATTTGGCCCACCAGTTGGGGAACCCTGGACTAGGGTGTGTGTTAACCCCTCAAACTTAACCCTTGCTCTCAACCATCTGTGATAAGACAATCAGATTCACTTCATGTTTGCTGCCTCATGTTCTAAGGCACAGGTGTCAAACTCATTCCATGGAGGGCTGAGTGTCTGCGGATTTTAGCTCCTCCCTTGTACTTGATTGATCAATAACGTCACTGATTAGTTAGGAACTCCCCTCACCTGGGTGTCTAGTTCTTAATTGGATACAAATTGAAAGGAAATAATGACGATACGCTCGGCCGTCCATGGAATGAGTTTGACACCCATGTTCTAAGGTGACACTAAATTAATTTGATAATTTCACACAATACAGTAAAGTGCTGTACACTGATTGTTGAATATATCCAAAGTTACTAATTATCATGTGTTATGCGTTATCTGTTCTTTGTCATTGTTCAGCACTGCACCTTTGGAATACTAATTAAATAAACAATAAGCTAATATGTTAACATTGCTCTCATTATCTATATTTAAAGACCACACAAAACTCTAGTAGTTGGTGTTCTGCATGTGGAGTTTCCTTTATTTGTCAAACATTATCCCATGTTATATTACACTGAACAAAAATATAAAACGCAACATGCAACAATTTTAAAGATTTTACTGAATTACAGTTCATATAAGGAATTCAGTCAAATAAAATAAATGCATTGGGCCCTAATCTATGGATTTCACATGACTGGGAATACAGATATGCATCTCTTGGTCAAAGATAACTTTTTAAAAAGGTAGGGGCGTGGATCAGAAACCCAGTCAGTATCTGGTGTGACTACCATTTGCCTCATTGATCAGACTGTTGATTGTGGCCTGTGGAATGTTGTCCCACTCCTCTTCAATGGCTGTGCGAAGTTGCTGGATGTTGACGGAAACTGGAACGCTTGGATCCAGAGCATCCCAAACTTGCTCAATGAGTGACATGTCTGGTGAGTATGCAGGCCATGGATGGGTAGGGCTCGGGCTTAAAAGTCATGCCCGTGCAGGGCTCTAGCTATTTTTACTATTTCTGAGTATTTAAAACATTTTCTGTCATCTGAATTAGTCATTGTAAGGGATTTTAACTTAGATTGGCTTACCCCGGCCTCAGACCATTTTAAGATGTATATATTTTTTACTTTAAAGTGACTCAACTGATCGCAAAACCCACACGGATAAATTTTTTTAAAAAAATCCAGCAAACTCCTCACTGATTTACTTAGTTCTGACAAATAGCTCATACAAGTAATTTTGGAAAACAGTTAATGCACTGAGGTGTGGAAATTCCTCTGCTTCCCTGCCTAAGCAATTTGTCAGTCTGTCATCATTACTGAGAAAAATGAGATAAAATGCTGATTAAAAGCATCATTTATCTCGGCAGGCTTTTTATTTGAAATAAATGCTGGTTTAATTGACCATGGTCAGCTAGTCGACTGCCTGCCCCTCTCCAAGCCTCTAGTTGGCTCGATGGAACTTCTAATGAATATTTGTTTCATTTCAACAACTTTCTACTTGTGATGTGCTAGACGCCTTGCGTAAGATTGGTGGTGACCTGTGTGACCTAAATAATGATCGTCCCCTTTCCAAACTCTTGCCTAGCAAAATATCAAGAATCCTTGGTAAATACTCAATTTAGATCCTTTTTAACTACAAAATCGATTCTAAATGCACATCGGTCAGGTTTCAGACCAGGTCATAGCACCGTCTCTGCTACTTCTTTGGTTTTAAATGATGTTTGAATAAGAAGAAACACTGTGCGGCCCTTTTTATTGACGGGTCTAAAACCTTTGACACTGTGGATCACTCATTACTTATTCAGAGGCTTTCATCAGTTGGCCTGGACCAGGCTGCCTGTCCAGTAGCTGGTTTGAAAATTATTTAAAGGACATAATGCGGTGTGCATTTACTGATGGTGTTAAATCAAGTTTTCTGGACATAACAAAGGGTGTCCCACAGGGATCGATTCTTGGTCTGGTTCTTTTCACTATTTAAATTAACAATATTGGTATAAATAAATAATAACTTTCACCTGTATGCAGATGACACTGTGGTGTATGCTATTGCTCTCACAGCTGACTAGGCTGTCAGAGCTTAAATTTGCTTTATTGCCCTGCAGAAAACCTTTATTGAACTGAAATTGGTGCTTAACCCTTTACACTCGTACCCATATACAGGTTTAAAATGGCAGATTTGGGCACTGATAAATGCTCTGGCTCTGCTCTTCACATGATGTATGGGTTTTGACTGAGCACCTCGCGCGGCAAGCAGTTGCCCCCATCCCTCCCGTTAATTGGCCAAATTTAGCAAATTTTTTGTTGTCCGAGTGAGGGAAATACTGTAAATGAAGAGGGCCCTTATGTACATTTCCATATAAAGCTCATGTTATATACAGTGTCAACGTTTATGATCACTGTGTTTGATGTACAGTTAAATCAAACATGGTTGTTCTGAACAATGTGAGCCTGTTTGTCTATTGTGAAGAAAATTCACAGCGGCACACGCACCTGAATGAACTCATGATTCCTTTCTATGCACACCAAAATTATGTTTCCCTGAAATGCTTTATGAAACACTGTAATATCGTATTTTATAACTTAAATAGTCATGTTGGCAATAGAACAGGCTTTAAAATGATGCCCAGCTGACCCAGATTGTGATCTCTGCAGATCCTCTCTAGATCTGTCAGGTTGGATGGGGAGCGTTGCTGCACAGCTATTTTCAGGTCTCTCCAGAGATGTTAGATCGTCTTCAAGTCCGGGCTCTGGCTGGGCCACTAAAGGACATTCAGAGACTTGTCCCAAAGCCACTCCTGTGTTGTCTTGGCTGTGGCTGTGTCGTTGTACTGTTGGAAGGTGAACCTTCACCCCAGTCTGAGGTCCTGTGCATTCTGGAGCAGGTTTTCATCAAGGATCTCTCTGTACTTTGCTCCGTTAATCTTTCCCTCGATCCTGACTAGTCTCCCAGTCCCTGCAGCTGAAAAACATCCCCACAGCATGATGCTGCCACCACCATGCTTCACCGTAGTGATGGTGCCAGGTTTCCTCCAGACGTGACGCTTGGCATTCAGGCCAAAGAGTTAAATCTTGGTTTCATCAGACCAGTGAACCTTGTTTCTCATGGTCTGAGAGTTGTCACAGGCCGGCTCATAGCCTGTGGCAAAAATGAGGGGACATGAACAAAAGGTATAGGCCAATCAAAAGGTTCTTTATTGTAAACCAAAAACTATTAACTTTAAACAAAGAAAAAGGATTGAGGTGTGGAAATGTCATAATGTAGGGTGTAGGTAAGGTGCA